TGAGGATTAAATATGACATATAAAAAAATAAAAAAATTTAAAAAATTAATTTTATAAATTGCTTCAGATAGAATAAATTACAATTAAAATAATGAAGAGCAAATATGATAGATAAAAAAAATTAAAAAAAAAAAGATAAGAGAAAAAATAACAATAAAAAGAATGAGGACTAAAATTGATATAAAAATAAAATTATATCAAATTTGAAAGAAAAAATTAAAAAAATTAAAAAAATAATTCAAAACATAATATATAACAGTAAAAAAAGGATCAAATTTAATCTAACCAATAAATAATAGGATCTTTTTTAATTTTTACATCTCCTGAAAAATATATTCCGTTAAAATTAAAATAAAAACACTTTCAAGAAAATAGTTAAATTTTTATTTGATTGTAAAATATTCTTGTTAATTAAATTTTTTGATGATAAATAAATATAAACAAATTTTCAAAATAATTTCTAAAAAATCACCTTTTAACCAAAAACAAAAAACTAAATTTCTTCATTAGATAAAATGAAATCGAAAAAGCATGATCTATTTATTATCAATTCATTTTAACACGTGTTTTTTATACTATTAATAAAATTGATGAAAATATAGCAAATCTATAATTTATGTCCATTTTTATGAAAACAAATCTATAATTATATGAGTTCAACTTTATATATGTAACACCTACTAATATGAAAAATTAAATGAAAACAATCACTTACTTAACGAGCCAAATTAATGTAATTATTTATTTTTTGTAAGGATTATAAATGATATTGGTTTTAAATTAATTTTTCAATTAACCTCTTTTTTTTTTAATGCAATTTTCAAACCTAAGAAACTTGTTGCATATTAAAATATTGTCTAGTTTTGAGAATGTAAATCAAAATTGATTCATATATAAATTAACAATATAATTAGTAGGAGATAATATATTTTATCTTTTATTTTGTATTTCTATAATAATAATCAAGTGATCATGATTAATATACTTATAAAAAATGATATATGTGTTTACATAATTCAATTATAAAAATAAAATATATTTTATACGAATAAATTATAATAGAATGCTGTAATGCTAATTATCACTCATAGAAGGAAAGGTTTTGAATGAAAATCATGGCCCTAATTATTAATGGACAGATTTTACTCCCATATTTGCCTTTTTTTTTTGTTAAGGAAAGATGAATATTGTAGTGCTTATCTTTATTAAAAAATATTATTTTTTTAAAAATCTTATGGTTGTAAAATCCTTTAAAAACCTTTTTTCTTAAATTATTTTAAAACTTCCTATTCTTAAAACGTGTAAATTATTTCATTCACTAAATTTATAATATATATATATATATATAAGCCTAGAGAAGAAGAGTTCTTATTTAAAAAAAAAATGACTCATTTTATCTCTATAAAAAACTGAAATAACCACGGAAGATGAGAAAAGAAAAGGAAAAATAATTAAACTTGAGTACTTTTTGTTGATTTTCAATAAACCAACAAAATTAACCCTTTATATATAAGCCTAGAGAAGAAGAGTTCTTTTTTTTTTAATGTGGGACAAAGCTTTATGGTTTGATTTTTTTTTTTGGCCAACTCCTTCTAAGTTATTTGATACTAATTTTTGTTTCCTCTATAATTGATTTTAAATATTATAGTATTTCATAATATAATATTTGGAGAATATTTTCTAACAAAGTAGTAACTCTAATAAATAGGTGAATATTCTCACTTTTAATTAGATATCAAATGTTACCAATAACCATGTCGAATGATTGATATAAAAATAAATAAATAAAATTGTAAAAAGAATTTACTTTTAGGTTACTTCTTTCTATCTAAATAGATAATATGTGGCTTTGAACTTTTTTTAATAACTCTTGATTTTATGAGTATTTTAATAAATTTAATATTTAAAAATTCTAAAAGAAATAATTATATTTTTTTATTGAAATAAATGATTTAATTAAAAGTATTGTGATATAATCGGTAAGGTTGTACAAGATTTGAGAATATTAAAATCATAAATCACCCCTAACAATAGATGGCAATCCTTTTTGACCCTATATTAATGGACCTGTTCAATAGCTGGAGTTATTACTTCTATGAAAGAGTTGACAATTAATATGGGTATTTACTGTTCATACGTAGCTTCTTTTTTGTTTTTTCACTTGCCCCTAATTTGTTTCCCTTCACCCTTTTCTTTATTATAATTTTGTCATTTTTATCTAATTTCATGCTTAATTTTTTTAATAGTAATTTAAATTATTTTTATATTAATAAAATTGACTAGATCACTTCAAGACAACTTTATGTGAATCCAGCCACCTAAATCAACAATGGTGGGAAAAAGATGAAGCCATCTTTTCCACTTTAGTCAATAAGTATAGGCACCAGTTCGGTGCCTCTTGCTTTTCCTCTTGTCCTTTACTTAGATACTTACTTATAAATAAGCAATGCATCCAAGCTATTTTGCACAACACAAGAGAGAAACAAGAGAAGAAGAGTAGAGTTATAGAGGGAAAATAATCTCAAAAAATTATAAGGTATTTATAATAGAGTAAGTGAGGTGTTTTCTCCTAATAATAGAGAAATTCTTAGTTATTCTTCTATTATTTGAGAGAAGTTGTAATTCCCACATTACATAGTAAAATTCTTCTATACTTGCCTGTGGACGTAGCCCAATTAGGTGAACCACGTAAATTCTTGTGTCTCATTTCTCATTTTATCCTGTGCTTTACCTTTCGTCTTGTCGGGTTTGCATGCTAGTATCCTAACAGTGGTATCAGAGCTTTCTGGTTAGTGTTGTTGATACACAAAAGTTATTCATGTATACGATTACTATTCACATTTACAACACTATTCATCCAAGCAGTACTATTCATCCATACGATACTGTTCACATTATTTACGACACTATTCATCCAAGCAGTACTATTCATCCATACGGTATTGTTCACATTCGTTACTGTTGGCGTATATAAAAAGTCAGTGGCGTGATTAAATACAGTCTAGGAAGTTCTGTCTAAAGAAATTGGGTTTTAAGCGGGACCGTTTGTGACCCTTCCAATCTTTCCTAGGAACTTACTTAGTGAAGTATTATTCACACAATACTCTTTCTGTATACGTTACAGATTTGTGAAACATTGATAGCTGCATAGATCTCGGTGAATACAATGGCAGCAAAGTA